ATAATCAAATAATGTAAAATGCATAACATTCGGCATAGACCTATGTAAGTAATCATCTACAGGCAGAATCTGCTGGTTTCTCTTCACAATCTTGCTTCCTAATCTGAATTATTTCCACTAGTAAAAATGCATAATGCAGCAAATCTAATGATGAAATATTGCTGTAGACTGACTAAGACTTTAAAGGTTTGTTTTTAGTTTGACCTCTGCTAATAGTTCAGCGGCTCTGTCTAGATTAACTTCCTCTTTCACTTCCTATTTCTGGCTTCCAGGAAACTTAATTTGTATTTTGAGTGTCTTAATGCGGCTTAATGTTGCATCAGTGTGTCTGATGCAACATTAAGACGCGCTGATATTAAAAACACGTTTGGTGTTGAGAGGTTAACAGAAAAAGAACAGATGACATCTCAACTGGAGAAAGTAAGGGTGTAGTGTAGTAGCGAGGCACAGTAAGACCAAGGTAGGCGCTTCCTGGAGGAGGCAAGGATTCACTCTCCTACATTAAAGAATCAGGGCAACTCATTTTCCAGGATGGAGGGATTGGAGATTGCTGCTAACAGAGCAGAATTTAGTCAGTCATTTATCAATCACAGGCAAAACTATTTTGGGCTGATTTTGGCCCTTTAAGATACATCCAAAGACACAATGTATTGATTTAGATCAAAGCATATTTATACATTAGAATGGCCTAGTCAAAGCCCAGGCTCAATCCAATTAAGAATTTGTTTCAATGCCTAAAATATAATTTTCTGAGTTTGACTGAGCTTGAGCTACAGTAGATTCCAAAGAAGAATGGAAGATTATTCCTAGATCTCTAAAAAAGCAAAGTTGGTAGTTAGATTCCCCTGAAAACTTTGCAATCACTGAGAAAAGTGATTCTATGCAGTGTGGTGTGCTGTTGGTCGGTTGCATAATATCCCAGACTGTGAGGTAACAAAAAGCGGAAAAAAGAGGTGTGTATACTTCTGTAAGAAATAGTGAATCCTTAAATCCTGGTGGTTTAAAGACAGTGAAACTATTAGAAAGTAAATCATTATGCTTCCAAACTCCATTTGTCCTAAAACGTACACTGAAAGAAATCAACCTTCAACTATTCTCCTTCTGTGCTCAGAGTCTCTGTCCCTCCTTGCAGAGACGATAGAAGCTATTAGCAGTGATCAATAAGACTGCTACTTACTCAGCCTTTGTGCAGAAAGGAAAAAAGAGCTGGGAGCTGGTGCTTTGTTAAAACCAGGAAATGGTGACGAGTTGTATTCAGGTCAGTAGTACAGAGAAGCAAAATGTGTGGTAAATGTTTATCCCTCAGCAGAGGAACTCTGTAGTGAAAAGAGGCATGATTGGACCTCTGATGATGATGCAACTGAAACAATTATAGTGAATGAGCTGCTTTCCCATCACCAGGAAAGACTTGCATTAATGGATTATAAATAAAACAATGAACTTGGCTTCCCGGAATATAAATAAGAGTTATATAGTTCTATAGAATAGAAAAGTTTCTAGATTACGTCAAACAATTTGACAATTTATCACAAGCATTTTGGAGGAATTTTAGCTCTAAAACAGTCTAAAACATTTTCAGGAAGAAAAATGTCCTAACGGGTCGTTTAAGATTAACCAGATATTTTGTTCACATTAAAACCAGATTAAAACGTAGTCGCAGTTGAATCTTTTCATCATAAAAATACAATCTACAATCTTCATGTAACATGCCACTAAAATAAACTAAAAAATACTTTATTACATAATGTGATTCAAAATAACGAGTAGAACACAGAGTTGTTAAAGATGTATAGCCACTTTATATAACTTGACAAAAAATAGCTTTTTATCATGATAAAATAAGATCCAGAAGACATGGCAGTAAGGAGATGCAGGCAAGGTTTGCTATAGATTTTCAGGCTGAATGTGTGACTAGGCTCCAAAAGTGATAAATTATTAGAAAAGTATAAAATATTTTAATAACAAAGAAATTCAAAAGCTTAAAAAGTACAATCAAAGGACACTCTAAAGAAATATTTCCACATTAGCAAGTACTTTCTGTGTTTTAAATAAAACATGTCAGTATCTATTGTGTGCGATCTTTGGGTAGAAATCTGACCTCACAGCAGTTCTTTTTAACAAGATATATATCAACAATTTGATCTTTTCTGTAAATGAATGTTTAATTTGAAGGCTATGGGAGGCTTTCGGACAAAAACATGATCAGTAATTCCTGGTATTTTAAGGACATTAAAGTAGAGAGGCCAGCATGGGCATTGCCCCCCCATCCTGTAGATCCGCCTCTGGGTCGGAACAAATTTGATGATTTTCAATTTGGCCAGTAGTTTTTCCCTTTTAAATTAGAGATTGATTTGTTTTCACTACAGAAATCTGTTTAAAATTCACAGCATGATAAATAATAATAATAATTAACAATAATGATAACAATAATAATGACAGTACATTTCATTAAAAACACCTTTCAAAACACCCAAAACACTTTACAACAAAAATTATCAACAATACAGAGTGATAAAAACAGAACAAGCGATCTATGGAGGTATGCATTTGTCAACAAGGTATCAGTATCACCAATAAAGGAGAGAGTGAATTCTAGAGGGATTTTTAAATTATGTTCAATTCATTCTTTTTTCCACTTTTCATTGTATATTTTTAGTTTTCATTGCTTTATATATTTTGTGAATTCTGTGTATGTATCTAATGTCACGATTTGTTTGGAGGTTTTTATGACCCAAATGCAGAGGCAGAGAGGCTGAGGTGAATACTTGTAGTTTTAATGATGAAAATAGTTAACAAGGCAGCAATCCAAAAATCCAACTAAAAATGTAACAGACCAGAACCATGGAGACATCAAGGGAAAAAGTGCACAACGAGCCAGGGAGAGACGAGGTGAGAGGACAACAGCGACGTCAGGACCAGCAACAACAGAGGAACCAACAAAGAGTGAGAGCAGAGGGAGAGAATATATAGCTGACTGAGACAAAGGGAGGGCTAATGAGCTGACAAGGAGCAGGTGTGAGAGGAGACAACGAAGGAGCCAAGGGGAAAGGAACACACACACAAGAGGGCAACAGAAAAAACATGAGAAATAACATAAATCTAGAAATTACAACAAAACTGGAATTAAACCAATAAAACTAGAAAACAAGGAGCAAAGTAAAGCACAACAGAACCAAGACCATGACATCTAATAGTGGTAATCTTTTTTAAATCCATTTTTTTTGGTGAAATTTTAAGTAAATAAAAATTTTTTCACCCTAACTTTTAGTGCTCTAAAACTAAAATGCAAATCCAACTTAAATGAATTGCTTCAACTCGTAAAAAGCAATTGAATTACACCTAATAAAAATTTGGAGTCAACAATTAATCTAACAGTCATGTCTTTGGATAACAGGAGGAAGCTGGAGTACCAGCAGAGAACCCCCACAGGCATGGGAGAACATGCAAACTCAGTGCAGAAAATCCTCAGGCCAGGAACTGAGCTCATGCTTTTTGCTGCAATACCATGGTACCACGAACTGTGCAAATTATTAATAAATTATTAATCATAATCCCCTATTATAATTATTGATAAATATTCATAATAAAATAAGATAAAATGCACAACATTCGGCATAGAGATGTGTAAGTAATCATCTACAGGCAGAATCTGCTGGTTTTACAGTAGTAGAAATTATTAAGTTTATATAAATAAATAAATTAAGTTGGGCAAACTTAATTAATTTACTTGTTACTGTAATTGAAGCTTTTTTTTTCAAAGTTGCAGTTTTTGGTTAACTTAAAGCATGCAGTTTAACCATGGACGGTTCTAGACAGGGGCAACTGGGCCAATGCCCCTGTAGATCATGTCCTGGCCCCTGTCATGGCCCCTGCACTGAAGACATAATACTTTGTTACTTTATTTTTCTCTGTTTTACTTTTTTTTTTTTTTTTAAAGAAACAATAAGGTAGCTTCAGTGGTATTGAGAAAGGATCCCAGTTTTCATCTACTAAATGTTTTTTTTTCTCTACTTTGTACAGCTGAATTTACCAGCTTTTCATGGGTTCTAATTCAGATTTTATAAAAAACTGTAATTTTAACTTAAAAAATCCCTAAATCCTGAATTTATATCGACCTAATAAGAAATAGAATTTTAATTACATTTAATTGAATAGAAATTTTACTTTATGTAGCTCTCTTTATTCATTTGAACATTTGAGCTAGAACCGCCACTGAGTTTAACCCAATATTTCGACTGTAGTTAGAGTTTAAACAACCCACTCTTGGCACAGAATTTTCAAGTGTATATAGTTTTTTTGTTGTTGCTGTCGTTGTTAGGATTTATTGTCAAAGCATTAATAAAATAAAACCATCAATTATCAAGCTGGATGAAATCTTACATATTCAATAATTAAAATATGACACCTTGTAAATGTCTTCTGTGTTTAATATTTGTCAAAGAAACAACATATATGTTGTATTTATTGAATACTCAGGTGGCAGCACGTGTGTGATGAATCCAGCGCATCTTTTAATGTGAAATGGAGCTGCCTGTCTGCTCTTTGTGTTTCATCGCGACATCCTGAGAGATGTGGAGGAGGATGACGGACTCTATTCCGACCACAAGCAAACAAAAGAGGCTTAATTTTCTCCTCCTTCTGATGAAACAGGAAACATTTATTATCACATAAACTGTTGAAGGTGTGAACAGAAATATCCAAAGCAATCCGCAGCCATTGTCGCACTATACAGCGTTTCTAAACACACGCGCACATGAGCCAGCCCACTTTCAGTAGTACCATCGTGGGTTAAACCAATGCACCTGACAGTAGGGGTGCATTAAGAAGACAAAAAAATATGAAATCCTCGAATATACTCCTTATAAAGACATAAAAATGCATTTGTTGTGAATGAAATAAGCGGATTAAAATGTAAACAGAAAGAGATCGGGGGGGACGGTGGGTTAGGATGGGTGTGTGAGCGGGGTGGGGGGGGCTCCACTAAACTGGGCGGTGAACTGGAGAGAAATTGAGCGCTGGAGTCGGATGAGGGCACACAGAGCGGTCGGACCGAAACGAGTGATGATGTCTTCCCCGTGCATGTCCTCTCACAACTTCATCCCTTGATACGCATCGTGGCAGAAAATTTCATTAAGCTCAGGTAAGACTGACTTAAAGACGTTTTGACATCGCGGATGATGGAGGGGTTTGTTTTTATCTATTTAGGACAAAGGCATCTGAGGATGTGTCTGTGTGTGTGAGGCTGAGTGGGGTACCAGTGCAGCAGGATGGAGCTGAAGGCGGTGAATGATGAAACACCTCACATGGATGTCATGAGGCGCGCGCAACCGCTCTAATTTATGCCCATTCCTCCCAGAACAAATTGTGCTCAGTGGGCGCACATGGCATCACTATTCATATTACTGTTTATTTACATTTTTTATCGTTTTCCCTGATATTTTAGTGCTATTAACGGGTAGAAAATTTAGACATCGTTTTTTTTTTGTGTGTGTGTTGAATTGAAACCACCCAGAGATGTTGCGTTTCAACATCCTCGTGTTCTGAATAAAATTAATGAAAGCAGGGAAAGCATTTTATCCTTTAATTGACACCTAAACTGGAAGTGTTAATCTAATCTAATCTAATCGAATCACCGTTTAATCCTGTGGTCGGTGGGCGGGAAGCGCGCTCTGCCCCCCGTCCCCATCATTTTGCACTGGGTATAAAATAAACCACGCGCGTCGTTTCCTTTAAGAAAATAAAAGCTGAAGCTGGACTGTGGCAGACCAGGAGGCTGCGCACCTTCCCCTCCTGTGGATGGCCTGTCTGGATGAACACACCCTGAAGGCTCCAAACCCGCAATGGTCATAAATTACGCTCATTTGGAGAGGAGGGTTGAAAGGTGGAAGAAAATCCGATGGTTTTCAGGAGAGAAGCAGAAATAAGGATGTTTGGGTTTGGATGCAGCTTTGTCTCTTCAAATATTCAGGAGGCTGAGAAACGCGAGGGCTCCACCTGTCCCGGCACAAACCGCTCCCAGGCCCTGAGTTTCCCAGAACAAAATGATCCCCATTCATTGCTGCCCATGCCAGCCATGTGATTTCCATGTGAGGGAGGCATCCTTTAGATCACACTAGTCGTTGCCATGGGGATGAGGATCTTGTAGTTATGAGTAAAATATTATTAAACAAAAAACTCAAACTAAATTATTTTAGAAATAGAAAATAGTAATTTTATTTCTAGTCGTGCTAAAATAATTCCATAAAAGTAATGCAAACTATTGCATTATTTAGATTCAATGAAAATAATTTTAACTAAAAATAAAATTTAAGTTGTGCTTTCAAGTGCTACTTTACACAAAATGATTGCTATATGCTTTTGGCCTGTATGGAAATTAGCTTGTGAATTACAGGTGCAGTCACAAATGGTCACCATTTTAGTTAAAAAAATAAAAAAACAAAAGTTGAGTACTATTCTTTCAGCCAGCTGACAGGAAATGCACAGCAGTGGGAATGGAGGGGTATCACATTTGGAAACTAACTCATCATGTGCAACAAATTCAACTTAATTTTGGGGACCTAACATTTTTATCAGACTTGTGAAGAAAAAAAAAAGAACCAGCTGCTAATTTGAATTATGATGATGAACTCATTCCTTGATGAATAAAGTTAAGACTCGTATTTCTTCTGTTTTTTTCAGCTCGCACATATATGTAACGTCAGATGTTTCTTAGTGATGTCACAAGTTTAGAAGTTACATCTTTGTTTCAAAATTCATAGTATTTCATTTGTGACTCATACCTGTAAGTTTGTCTTTCCTACTTATAATATGTTTGTACTTGGCCATTTGGAATTTGTACTATTTGTGTTATTTAAACACAAACATTCTTGTACATTTAGTCTATTTGTAACTTTTTTTGTATAATTGTATTGTTACCAAGCTTCGTAACTTGTAATCCTAACTAAGATTTTTATTCTCACAAATGAAACATCTGATGAGTTGACAGCAAGGAATGAATATAGTTTTTATATAGAAGCTTGTCGACTTCCTTTACAAATTTAGACACATGAGCATATGTTTTTAATTGACAGTACTTACCCAATATAGCGCTTTCAAAAATACTTGCAGACTTGTTCATAAACATCCTGACCAATGTTTTTCAATACTTTTCAATATAATGCAAGATGTTCTGTAAAAAGAGTAAATAGTTTTACAGTCATAGATGAGGAGGCTGAGTAAAGGCTAGTGGGGAATGTTTTATTATTACTGTTATTCACAGTTTCTTTCTCTGCTCCACAGACATTTGGTGATAATGAAGAACTAAAGCGTTTATTAACCACTCAACCTTCACAGACTTTTCCCCTTCCCCGGACTCAGATATTTTCTAAGCTGACTTTCACCAGTTGCAGGCTCTGCCATTGAAGCCCACCTACCAAGACTTATAAAAAAAAACCAAAAAAAAAACCGAGAAGACGTTCCAAACCCCTCGCCCGTGTTTGCTTTATCAAATGCCCAAAAACAGCAAGGCCGTCAAGAGAGAGCTTGACGACGATGTCACGGAGTCTGTCAGGGACCTGCTTTCCAATGAGGATGCCTGCGACGATTCCTTCAAGAAGAGCTCGCTGATTGTCGACGACCCTGAAGGCGAAGGCAAGGAGTGCGATGTGGAGGAAGGGGCCTCGGATGGCGAGGATGAGGAGCGCCCAGCCTGGAACAGCAAGCTCCAGTACATCCTGGCCCAGGTCGGCTTCTCTGTAGGCCTGGGTAACGTGTGGAGGTTCCCCTACCTGTGTCAGAAGAACGGAGGTGGTGAGTTGCCCGCGTTAGGCCTCATTTACAGCGCTTCTGTGGGCGGCTAGAGCTTCCTCCCAACCATACCGAACAGCAGTAATAGGAGCATGTATAAGCTCCACAACTAAGGGGTTATAGGATTTAATTGCTGGAAAATAACACCAATTTATCAAATCAAACCTCAACAATGTTGACAGATGAAATTCCTAAAAAGACTGACTTTGGCTCCTTCCTTTAAGCATTAATATGCCCCTCAATATGTAAATTCAGGCTTTTTTCTGCACACATTCACTTTTCAGCAGATAAAATGTTCATAACTCTTTACACGTCTATGATGCCAAGAACTATAGTTCTTTCATCCTAGAGTGTCTGCTGTCTGTCTGTTTAAATCTCTGGTAAGCTGTAAGGAGCTTTACCAAAATGAAATTATGAAATGTTTGCCTTTGAAAAGGCCAAAGTCGGGATGGTACCTCAGCAGAACTGAATCGATGCTTCAGGACTGTGTGGTTTTAGAAATAGTAGGTTTCTTTGCAGAAAATCCTCTTTGATTAGAAAATCATGGCATCGAACTGTAGCCACATTCTCCAACAAAATCCGGCTGGGCGATATAATGACAAAGCATGATGGGAGTCAGACAACAGATTAACCAAATTAGACACTCAAAGGTGTTATTTGGGGCCAAAGAAAAGTCAGTAATTATTGGCTGCATGAGGAATAGTACTGAGCTAAAGCTAAAGGTTCAAAATGGAGAGAACTTTTTAAATGTTTCACGCTTAAATCTCATGATAGTTATATTGATTTTTCAAAAACAAGCTTTAAAAAAAAAGTGAACTGAAGGAGCTTAATGTTACAATATTCAGATAATCAGTATTTGTTTCATTCACAATATTTTAGAGCTAAACAATATGTGTTGAAGATAACTTCAACATGTGTATGTGTCAAAATGTGATTCAATAAAATAGTCTAAATTTAAAACTATATGAATTCCTTGTTTTCAACTCTGAAACCTTAAAAGTTACAAAGCAACAGCTTGGCAACAAAACAAGTATTAATTATAAATCACAAATATATTAATACAAATCGCAGACTTGCAAATAAGAAAATCATTTTACTTGTTCCAATCACAAATTTACTAATAGGATTCAGAAATTGATATGTATGAATCACGTATTTATGAGTTTATTTCACAAATTCCTAGTAAAAATCAGCAATTTACAAGTACAAACAAAAGATGTTCAAGTTTAAATCACACATTTAAGAATACAAACCACAAATGTTTGAGTATTACCATATTTTCCAGAATGTAGGGTGCAGCTCACTATATGTCGCGCCAACACATTTTTTTGAAAAAATTGGAAACGTATGTATATACGTATATATATATATATATATATATATATATATATATATATATATATATATATATATATATATATATGATTAATATATGCTTGTATATGATATTATATAATATTATTATATGATGTATCCCTAAGCTTATATATGATATTATCCCTAAGCTGGATAATATCTACTCAACCACCAAACCTTTAGGGGAAAAAAAAGCTAGCAGACAAGCTAGCCCCCATTAGCATGTTGGCCCGCAGCATTACTAGCTTCTGCTGAAAGATGGGGCTTCGTCAGCTCTTATTTTCAGCTCTGTAGGAGTTGAGCTCAGTCTCTTCACTGGTTGGGCAGCTTTAATGCGGCAAATAAATGGTATAATCTTTTGTATGGAGGGGTAAAGGGGACAAAATAAAAAAGATAAATAGATGTAGCGTTAAATAAATTGGTGTAAATGTATTAAAAATAATGTAAATCTACAATAAAATGTGAGATTAAATAAATAGATAAACTATTAAATATACCGTAAAATAAAATAATTCGATGCCTCATTCAATTCTTATAAAATGATCAATTAAACAACTCAAAGTGCCATTAAATATTACCTGTAAATTTTGACGTTAGATAAATAAAGGTAATTGCTTTAAATTAATTTATTCAGATATAATGTTTTTCATTCCAAAGTCAACAGTTTATCTGAGAAGTTGGAAATAACAAAAAAAAACATGTTATACATAAGTAAATGGTATATTTATATATTAAATTTCATTATTTTGTGGCAAATTTAATGATTTACTAGGCCTGTTAAATGATTAATTTGTTTAATTGCAGAAGCTTTATAGTTAACTCCGATTAATCACGGTTTTAATTGCGTGTAATTGGCATATCAAGGCAGTTCTAAGTTTATTATATAGAAAAATCAGCCATAGTCTTCAATGAGACTCAAAGGAACACATAGAATTTCCTTTTTGACTTTTTTAAAAAGGTAAATTCAGACCAACTTCCAAATATAAAAAGAAATTCAAGTGACACTGCTGACTTAAGAGATCGAACAGGATATCAGGCCACTTTCTTAAGCAACTTCAAAAATGAACAATAACGCCATTAGATGGGTTTCATTATTTCTGGACTTTCTTTTGGCATTACATATAGTTTTAATATTTTAATATTTGACTCTTAAAAAATATGAGTGGAAAATAATTCCATATTAAAGGGTGAAATTACCTTTCATCTTAAAAGGGTGAAATATGATGTCTTAAATATATTAATAATGATATATATCTTAGTATTTATTCTAAAAAACAGGGAATAATAACAAATCTTTGCTCTTTTTTTAATCATAGTTGATGGATCTTATTTCAGGATCTGTTAAGTATCCAGTTATGATATGAAACATTAAAAAGTTATATTAGGAGGCCCCGCAGAGCTGGTATTAATTAACACTTGTCTCTTTTAACCAGACAGCTTTAAGTTGTAAAAAGTGTAACCTCACCTCCTGGACTGCAACCAGAGGTAATAATGCATCTGCAAACTACTTTATTTAAATCAGTCAGTTTTTCAAAACAGTAACCTCCTGCAAACATGTTCCGCTTAGAATGACAGACTAAATGTATGCGTCCTAGGAAGGGTGGAAGAAGCTGCTTGCACTTCCCACCTGGAGATTATACAAATCTGTCTCCTGCTTCATGAAAGCGGATTAAAAGTAATTGACAGAGATGGGTTTGTCTGGAAGGAGACAGACTCTTAATCTATAGGTGTGTTATCACTAAAAAGATGGTGTCAAAAATATGTTTTATGATCTAGCTTAATGCAATTCCTGTTAAACTGCCTTGTCATGCGCAGAAAAAAACACATTTCTCACATATTTCCAAACATAAAAGTTGTATATACATTTGAACAATATAGAAAATCCAATTTATATAAAACACAAGAACTAAAGACAGTATCCTTTAAAGTGTTTCTAAGAAAGTTAATATCTTGTGAGGTCTGATTTAGAACATTAATTAATTCATTAAAGAGGATAAAATTACACACAGGTGTCCTGTGTTGTGCTCCAGTCTGTTAGAGTCAGAGTAAACTCCAGCTTTAGGAAGAAGATGGTAGCAGTTTGTGAGTCCAGTGAGGGTTTTAACGAGGGCTCATAAGATGTGGGGTCTTTTTATCATATGGGGAATAAAATACTTTTCCCAAAAATGCAACAACATGCCCAGGTTTGGCTGTTCATACAGGTCTACCCTGAAAGCAACCTGCAAGGGTGCTGAAGAACCTCACCTCAAACAGGAGGATCTTGCTAGTATAAAATATTATATTATATTATATATATTAAAGAGGCTGCAGAGGAGGGAGGCAAGGTTTGGGTGAAAAGACCAGAAGTTTTTTAGCTGTTTGGGTTACAGTGTCATAACTGTTGCATCAGCTAGAAAAGAAACATTTTTGTGTTATATTTGTCATATAAATGTTTTTATTTAAATTAGCAAAACACTGTTTCATTTTGTTGTTTCATAAGAATAATTTCCTTTCCAAAGCCAGGTTAGGTATTGACTTGCAGATATTTCTTAACAATGAGCTGAATATTTCATTGGCTTTCCTAATTTATTAACAGCCTTTTAAATATGCATCGAAACATTTCCATTTAGGTTTATTTTGATGCAAAATGTCGACCACCACAGGACGAAGACTAAAGCATAGCAAAAATCAACAAAGCTACCCACTAATAGGTTCAATACGCAATTGATCCATCAGGTTAGCGAATGTTTGTCATTCTGGTTTACATCCCTGTGTTTCTGGACTGGCTTGTTTTCAGGTTGGCTTTAAACAACTACTTGATCCCTGCTGTGATCATCTATAATTTGATTAAAATGGCAGCGCTGGGGCCTGAAGCAGATCCCTGTGGGTGTCCTTGTATCTCCATTCTACTCAGGACCTTTAATGAGATGTTAACGGTTTAACTTGAGAGCTTGTTTCCCTCAGTTTGATGCCCTTAACAGGGGAGGTTTGAAGTTGACGTGTGGCTGAGATATTTAGGGTGATTGACAGAAATAAATCTGCTTTAATGTTGCCTCTTCATCCACTGATACAGTAGAAGAACATTGGGCTATATTTCAACACCTTACAGATTTTATTTTTGGTTTTGATGACTGATTTATTTTCTGTGGCCTTGGTTAGATCTTAATATTCTTGTTTTCAGACACAGGTTAAACGATAAGGTTTTTTTATCCCACACTTATCTTTCTTCCAAGTCATTTCATATGAACAGAAAAATTAAAATCTCAAAGGTTCAAGTTGAAATGGATAGATGACAAAACCTCTGCAGATATTTTAAATGTGCATGTATGGAATACATTTTGTTCCATTATTTTTGCATCGAAGACAAAATGTTGTAAAGGGAAATTTGAAAAAAAAAAAATACGATCCACTTTGAAAAGTTTCTTGACCAAAAAACCATTTTGAGAGAAACTTTGCTGGTTTCTCAGGTTTTCTTTTATATCTATTTTGTAAAAGTTATTACTTATACTCTTTTTAGCTTCACAGAAATGCAACACTAGATTAAACACAGAAGGAAGATAAAAAGGTATGGAATGAGTTGCATGTTACTGAGATGGAAAACAAGCTATAAGATTTAAACCGGGGGCAGCCATGTTGGATTTAAGATGTACGCTAGAGACCTGCATATGGAGTGAATTGTTTCCATTATTGTTGAAAGAAAAAAATGCATTTTGTAAATGAAAATTCAAAAGAAATAAAATGCAGAAATTAGTCCTTGGAAAAAATTTTAATAAAAAAAAACGTTAAGAGAGTAACTTTACTGTTTAAACAGGTTTTACTTCTCTTTTTTATTTTCATATTTTGGTTGTTCAAATTATTCATACTTGAATTTTATTTTTCTATTTTGTCTGTTTCAGATGGAGTTTTATGAATTGCATTCTTTTCTAATTGCGTTTTACAGATCACATTATCTTCACTTCATAAAAGCTAATTTATTTCATTTCATTTAGATTCCACTTAATAATTCTCTGAACTTTATCATCTGGACAATTTCGGGGCTTGCTAAATGATTACAACTATATTAGCGAAGCTGGCTTTCGTCATCCATCCTAACAGCGACATGGTTTTAACTCAGCTAAAACAATGTTGCAAAGAAAAGATGAGTTTTCTTTTTTAAGTTTTCATCTCAAAGTTTTGTTCTGGTCCACAGAAAGACAAAATTTGAACACTTGGAAACAGCACTGTGGTAAATATGCCAGGCCTTTTGGTGGTGCTGTGACACCGCCACAGAATCGCAGCAAAACTGTTGAAAAAAACACCTCCATGTCCAAACAGCTCATGCAAGGCAAACAAAGCAACAGGACAGCAAACGTGCACTTTGCAATCATTAACTCCTACATTAATAAATGCTATAACTGGAAGTCTATGTAACTTTCCTGGCATTTGATCTGCCATTCGAAATGTTCAACTTAAATGGTGTCAAGTCCAACTGGAACGCCCCTGAAACCTTTATTTACCAGCCAGGAAAGGTCTCAAACAGAATGACATCCATGTTCAAGAGGGATTCCTGTTATGAATAAGATCAATTTCTCAAGGCTCGAAACGGGAGACTCAATATTCAAGGCAAACAGACAGTACGGTTACCCAAAAAAGCATTTATTAAAGAACGTATCTACAGTAGCAGTGGCTAGGGGGTTTAGGGCAGAACCTCTGCAGAAAGGAAACACAGGTTAGTGACCACGTAAATCTGGCAGAGGAATATTATGAACTTGAGTCACTAACCCGGTTCAATAGTTCAGTCTGTGCCCGGAGAACGTGGTAGATTCCAGCCGGTCGGCTGATGACAAGACACGGCGGGCGCTGCTCATAGAGTGCCAGATGCTGTAGCCCCGGAGGACGGAAAACAAGCAGGAGACCACATCCAGGCAGATGAGGTAAAGCAGCATAATGCAGAGGGTGAAGCCAAAGGTGAAGACGTGCTCAGGATCCAGAAAAGGGAGATCAGAAGTCTGAAGAGGTTCCAGAGGGAAATCCAGGTCGGTGAAAGGAAACAGCTCCAAGTTCAGCAAACAGGCAGAAACCAGCAGGAGTTCACAGACAGGTCAGACAAACAGATCAGACTGGAACAGCATGTTTGTGTATTTAAAGACATTTAGTGGAAAAATTGCAGGGGAGAATATAAAAAAAAGAGTCTAATCAACCAAACCTTTCGCGACCCCCATGCAGTACCTCTGTGGACCCCCTAGGGGTCGCGGATCCCCTGTTGAAAACCTTTGGTTTAGAGGATATGTTTCATTGCTGTGTTTCCGCACAGAACACCACGTAGAACAGTGTTTCTGTCACTGTTTTGGTTTTCACAGTGATCGTAGTGAAAATAAAGAATACAGGGATCTCTGATATTTCGCTGCTTCAACCTGTTTAACTTAAATTCTTTGGAAAATGGATCACACAGTGAGGTTCTTGTGAAATACGAAAGGCTTCAAGGAAGACAGAATTTTTTTTTCTGTACCACTTCAAGTAAGAGATGACATTTCTTCTTGTCAAGTTTGTACCGGCCTCAGTTCTACTTAAACATTTTAAAATGATGGAAAATGACAAACACTATTTGCACTACTGGATAACGGTTTATTTTAGCCATGTTGTTGAATATAACAAGCAGCTAGCAAACAGCTAACTACATGTACTTAGTTTGGTTTCTTATAGATACATTATTGGAAAAAAAATCAAATTTTACACCACATCATCTTTTCTTTCCTGGCGCAAGCTCTGAACCCTCAAATAGTTTAGGTTTCATTATTTTGCATCAAATTACAGCATTTTACAGCTATCTAAAATGTGCTTAAGTTAACTTGCTAAAAGCTAAGATCTAAATAGTTAAACATCGGAAACTTTGAGAGGAGACAAATAATTCAGTTTGGCAAAAGCCGATTGTTAGACACATTTTTTTACTCATCTTAATGTTTCATAATCCTCATCATTCAATATGATGCAATTTAAAAAAAGAAAATGCATGCACATCATGAGTTTGTACATAGGAATAAAAACTTGAGATGATTTATTTCAGGAAGGAAACAAAAAAGAAAGTAACTTTATCAGGCTGCTGGCTTTGTTGAAAAAGAGATCAAACACAGATTCCTCATAAGGTAACCAGCTGCATGTAAGCAAACCAGAATTAGCTGTTTTGATATCAAAAACAGGTTATACATAACACATCCTCAAATAAAAAAACACCATGATGGAACACACACGCTGCTTTTCTTTGTATTGCCTCCCCTATCACGGTCAAATCTGGGAGGGACGGCTGAACTCAGGAACAGTTTTCAATAAACGCCCGCCATATGAAACAATAGGATCTGTTGAAACAGACATAATACAAGCGACCCACCAGGGTTCACATCTGTTGTTGTGGTTTGTCCACGAGACATAATGGGCCTGCTGTGGCTCAGCAGGAGAGTAGTCGTCTGAGAACTGAGTTTGATTCCAGCAACCTGCTGCCCCCTGAAATCCAATCCAATCAGGGAAAGTCTGACTTTTAGCACTTTGAAAAGTCTACATGTTTATAAAAACTGAGCATCTATCTCTACCTATTTACCTTACACATTTCTGTTTCTTGTTTTTTTTTTCATTTTGCACACAGAAATTATGGAGTAAATTTTGTTCCATTATTGTTGCAACAGAAAACACGTTCTGTAAATGGAAATAAAAAAAAGAAATACAATCTATTGAAATTCTAAAAAATTTTTGAAGAAAAAGATTGAGAGTAACTCTATTTTCTAAGATTTTATTATTTCCAATTTCTATTTTTCAAATTTTATTTGAAAATGTTTATTTTTTACATATTTTATATATTGATAATTTTTTCTTTCAAATTTGTGTTTTTCCAATAAAATTTACGACTCATTCTTTTCAAAACAAGCCCAATATGAACGCTTGGTCTTGATGCACACATTGACCAATAAAATGTTGCTAGTAGCAACCACGTAGACCAATAGAAACGCATATTCTCTCCTCACTCCAAAATAGAGCCCGCCGCCAGAAGTGAAGAGAAGTGATCTGTAAAACGCGGATAGGAAAGAATGCAATCCATAAACATTTATCTGAAAAACACAAAAATAAAAAGAATCTCTAGAAAATATTTTTTGTAAAAATACAATTTGAAAAATAAAACATAAAAAAAAGTAAAGAAAAAAAGAAAAAGTCTTAGAAAACGGCAGTTAAAACCTTTTTCCAACTGAAACGACTGCTTATAGTTAAGCCTGAAGAAGCTTTGTTAACATTACTACAGTAGCTGCAACTAGCAAGAAAACAGTACTGTCTAAAGAGGCGGGGTTTCCTGAAAAGTAGCCAAAAGTGACAAATGTCGACATGAGCTACAGAAACAGGTCCAGACACGAGTAGGAGATAATCTACAGAAGCATTAAAAAGCAGCAGAGCAGAGAAGGAGCATGGAGTCATGGTGGAGAGACTCATGGGGGGATTATGGTGTTCAATCTACACTCATAAAACCTTTAAAATGTGCATTTAGACTAGTTTACACGCGTGTATGAATATGTATGAGTATTTATTACTCCTGTGCCCAGGCTTGGCTTGATACATTTAGAAGTAACAAATGAAAATGAGCTCATATGTCTTGATCTTTTTTATATATATATATATTAGCATTAATTTAATGATGTGAGTTTATTATGGGATTGAGAAATCCACACCCACAGCACTGTACCTCCAGTATGAAAACAGCTGATGCAGTAGCTTCTGGTCAATTCGCAAATAAGTGGTGTAACCATCACATGGTATATAACATTTCCCTTGACATGGAGGGGTGTGAAGACACATTATGTAAAATCTGAAGACATCTAATCCTCTGCTCTTTAAATCTCTTTGAACTATCAGTTTTAAAATAACTCTTGTCTTTCCAGATGTGATTATGTTCTAATGTTGATAAATCAGCTTCTAGGTGTAAGTTTAGAAATGATGCAGTTAAAATAGGCCATTAATGGATGCTGTTTGATTGTAGCAGACATCCTATGGGGGTAAGTGTTTAGGTGCAGGTTTTTAACATGTGGTTGATGTTAGAGGAAATGAAAGTATCTGATGCAAGAGTTTCCTGTCCTTGCAGTGTGCCACATCTAATGTGTTGTGCTTATTGCTTTGTTTGGTAGGAGCGTACCTGGTGCCCTATCTAATCCTGCTTATACTGATCGGCATCCCGCTGTTCTTCCTGGAGCTCGCAGTGGGCCAGCGTATCCGCAGAGGCAGCATCGGCGTGTGGAACTACATCAGCCCCCGGCTGGGGGGCATCGGCTTTGCAAGCTGTGTGGTGAGTCAGACATCAGGGACTTTTTTCTGGTTTGAACTTTAAAAAAGAAATCCTACAAAGGCTCCATCTGATGCAATGCATGACATGTAAGCCACTGTAGGATGTCAAGAGGTATAAAACGTTAAATGCAAGTGCATTAGCAGGTTTCCTCCTATGCAAAGGTCTTTAGGTTTTTGTTTTGTTTTGTGAAAAAATATATAAAGAGGAAAATGTATTGGATTTTATCAGCCAGTATCTAAAATCTGGATATTTTCATGCTAATAGAAACACTCTGTCTCTGTTAAAAGTTTCTGTAACTAATTGGCTACGGTAATTTTACATGAGTCGGTTGTTTTCATACCTATTGTTAACTTTTGTTCCCCCCTTTCCTAATACTGCTTTATCAAGCCTTTTCTGACTTTCTGCAGTATAAAAGAAGTTATAAACGTAGGCATAATTCAAACTAATATTTTATTGGTTCAATATTGATACCAATTCTCAAAGCTGCGATATTAGTATCGTATCGGAAATGAAAAAGCTGTCTGTAGTTTTTCAAGTGTTGTAATATTTATTTTTCAAATTTTATGCTTTTAAAATTTATATTTCCAAGTTTTATTTCTTTAGTTCTTCGAATGATAGTTAACAGATTTTATATTTATAGCTGTTTTTTTTTTTTTTTTCAAATACCTGTTTTTCATTTTGAGTTTTACAAGTTGCACCAGACCATGACAGGACTAAGCAGGAGAAAATGGATGGATGGATGAGTTGCATTCTTTTCAAGATCGCATTCTCTTGTTAGAAAAAAAATATGTGGGAAAAAAGGAAATAATTATTTTCATGTCTGTATTGCATTTTTTTTTTTCAAATTTCAGTTTACAAAAGCTACACTTGGTTACAACAATAATGGAACAAAATTCACTCCATATATGATTCATATGAAAATCAATTGCAAACTGTGTTTACACAAAGATTTAAAGGAAAACTGTTTAAAATGATTGAATTTCATTTTTTAAACAGGAAAGTAGAATTACTCTTACTGCTGCTAAAATAGCATCTATTATTCCATCTATTATTATTTAATAAATAATCATTTACAACTTCCATTTACTATTTTGATGCATGGACAAGCACAAAGTCACAAAAAATAACTAAATCTGCTAAATGTAGTGTTAGTTGTTTTTAGTCAACATATTCTCATTATTAGTTCGTATGAAATCGTACGAAAAGTTATGCACACTATTTCGTACGTTTTGGACGTTTTTCCTCAAAAAACCAGATCAGTGCCCATGCGCTGGCAGACAGACAAAAAAAGCAGATCCGCGGACGGACGCAAAACTGGGAAAAACAGTGCAATAATCACTTCTTCATGTCTCTAACAACGTTGCTTGCTGTTTTATATCTTAGGGTTAGGGTCAGGGTTAGGGCTAATTGTGTTTTAAATTCTATGTTCTTGAATGGTGCGTAAAATGCGCATGCGTATACGCATGTTCGTATGAAATCGTACTTTTCATACGAACTCATAATGAGAATACACTGTTTTAGTAGGTGTTTGAAACACCACCGTATAAAACTGATGTTAATGTCAGTACTGCTAAGCGGATGAAGTCTTGTTTGATGTTTTGTTCTGGGTGTTTAAAGTTGAACATGTCCCCTTTGCTGACAGGTTTGCTTCTTTGTGGCCCTCTACTACAATGTCATCATCAGCTGGAGTCTCTTCTACTTCTCCCAGTCCTTCCAGCAGCCTCTGCCATGGCATGAGTGTCCACTTATCAAGAACAAGACCAGTACATGTAAGACACCGAGACAGGATAATGTATGGTAGCCAAATGTGTCGCTTTCTTACCCTTGGTTTTTATCACATAAAGTCGTAGGGAAATCATATTTAAATGTAAAATCATTCTGGCTTAAATATGTACATAAATGTACTCTTTATAAGACCATATTGTCCCAAAATGTAGAAAATTTCTATTTAAAAAAAAATCCTGTCTTAAAATCAGTGTTTTTTTGTTGTTGTTTTTTTCGTTATCTTTTGCAGGGCAGTTAGTTATACGTCAGCTTGTACACCTAAAATCGGCCAATCATATATCAACGGTCATCTGTCAATTAAATTTTTTCGGTCATAGCATCTTGATTCATATGTCACAGCTAATATACGCAACAATTGAAATGAGAATCATTTCCTTTACCATTGAGTTCCGTCCCAGTGTTCACGGGGATGGACGTCTGTGTCTTCTGCAGGCAAGGGCTCAAACATGTACGGCTGTAAGCCTTCTACACCAAATCAAGCATCTGCTGCTCTGGTGTCCTCTTCCACAACATCTTCATCCCTGTTTTCCCCCTTTAAATAAAAAATGTATGATGGAGCGACCTCCGACACAAAACTCTCCTCCTCTTGCATGTTTCCGCTGTCCATAGCGTTCCTTGACAGTGTTGTTTCTAAGTCACCAATTTAGTGCTACAGTACTTGGTCCCAATGGACCACAACCGGCCCCAACCAAACTGGCTTGCGAACCTTCCACCCCAGCAATCCAGCCCTCTCGATAAACGACCAATCATATTCACTTTATTCACTCTTGTAAAGTCGTGTATCACTCGGGACAATTCGTAAATGCAATTCTTGGAACAGCCGTTTCCCCACGCCTTTGATTTAAAAATTACATCAATAAACCTACATTTCATATAAAGAGGCAAGAGATAAAAGCTTTGTTGCCCACAGAGAAGATTCAAACTAGAAATAAGATCCAAATATTATACAAATAATCCCAGTTAGCAGATAAAGACGGCACTCTGCTTGGTTTTTAACTATAGATGTGGTGCCAGAGTGTGAGAAGAGCTCGGCCACCACTTACTACTGGTACCGTGAGGCCCTGGATATCTCCGACAGCATTTCTGAAAGCGGAGGACTCAACTGGAAGATGACATTGAGCCTGCTGGCTGCCTGGTCCATGGTGTGCCTCGCCATGATCAAGGGAATCCAGTCTTCAGGGAAGGTGAGGAGGCTTTCTATTCATCTTCAGTTAAACATAGACAGTGTTGAGCAGCTGCTTTAATGAAAAATAAAAATAGTTCCTTAGATGACTTAAAAAAAGGCTAAGAAGCAAAAGACATGGCTGGAAAAATGAGGCTGTGGTGACAGAAAAGCTCACTTTAGCTAAATCTAAAGCACCCGATGAGATGTAACTTAATTAATCTTTTTAATGAAAGTGTTTGGGAACTATTTCTCAGACCACATGTGATCTTTAAAGGATTTGTGCCTCAGCTTATCCTAACAAAGCGTCCGTGATACACCGTGATCTTAATGGTCGCAGAGTTTCTCCAGTCATATGACGAGTATTAACCGTGTTCTTCCTAGTTCAAAGTCAGGCCTCTGCTTCTCCGTTTCTAATCTTTTAAAGATCCACCTTAATGCTGAGGGTGATTGGCTTTGACGTTAAGTCGGATATGAACCGCCATCAGTGTGCATCTGAAAAGAATGTATTTCATTTCAATAATGGCAGCCTTTATCTTTAAAACAGAGGAGAGAATTAGACTGAACTCTAGGTCAGTGTTTGAGTGTTACTTATTTATTTCAGGTCTAACGTTTGATCCTGTCTGAACTCAGGGTACCCTCATCTTCAGGCGGCAGTGTGAACAAAACAATGCAGCAAAGCTTCAAGCATCTGTTTTTATCTCTGTTGTTGGGCTAGAAGCTCTGTGTCACAACAACAAGAGTTCCCAAAAGTGAACTAATTAGAACGCATCACACCGGTGACAGGGAGAGGTTTCTGAAAGCTAAATGAGATTTCCTGCTTTCTATCTGGGCGTCAGCCATTGATTTGGGTTTTACACCTACAGCCAGGTACAGTTCGCTTGGCTCCAGATCACAACACTCTGATCTTCTTTCCCCTACAGGAGTCGATTTACTAAAAACTTTCACTGTTTTTCTCAAAATCTCTTCTTCATATTTATCTTTGTATTTTCTGACAGATTGTTGTTCTCCTCTCTGCATTTATAGTTTGTTTTAGCAGAGGTGGGTAGTAACTAGTTACATTTACTCAGTTACTTGACTAACTTTTGAGTATTTTTAAAAGATTGCACTTTTTACCTTTACTTGAGTAAAATTTCTGGTTACTCTATCCTATATAATGCACTGAATGAAAAAAAGTTTGTTTTAAGGGAATCTGCAACGTTAAGAGACAAGCTTTCTTCTTTTTTGCAGTCAAGGCTTGTTGGTTAAATGTTATTTTTCTATCTGCTGAGTCTAAGTCATTTGGAGGCTGAGTAAAAATAAAGTAAGGAAAGGCAAGGAAAGTTTACCTGTATAGCACAATTCAGTACATGGACATTTCAAAGTGCTTTGCATGAGTTAGTTAATTAAAATAAAAGCATATAAAGATAAAAAAAAGTATTGTAATTCAAGCTAACTATTAATAATTTCAGGTTTTATAACTCAAGAACATTTTTTTCTAAATATGTATTTCTGTATGTTATGTGTTTATTTTTATCTTGTCGTTTGAAACACGAAAATTAGCATATCAATGAATATTTTGTTACATTTTATATAATTTTGTAAAATATTAAATCAGTTGATCAGTCACTCATTATCCTTTTTACCAAATACTTTTTTTCTTTAAAGGCTACTTTTTACTTTTACTTAAGTACAATTTTTGGGTACTTATTAATCTAACCTATATCTGATTAATCTATATCTGATGGTATAAGACATTTTTGAAGCAACAGCGTCAACATTAACAAGACTAAAATATTTTTTCAGAAAAAAAACAATGGAAAGTTGGCTGAGTTTCACTTTCCTCCCAGTTATACGACCAATGGTTACTGAAGTTAGATGGGAATAGTTAATGAAATAAATCAGTTGTTTCCAGCATACATTTTTTTTTTATATATTATTACTATAGAATGATTCTAATTTTCTTAATGTGTTTTGAAATGATCTGGTCTTCTTCACCATAAACTATTGTTTTTTTCCTAGAGAGGGTTTTGAAGATGCAGTGGTCAATGGAAATGCTCACCTTAAAGGCACAAAAGCCTCGCCTAAAGAACTACCCTGGGAGAAAGAGAGTTTCCGTGCCAAATGTGCATGTGTGTGGGCAGACCACTTGGTTACCATGGTAACCTTTGGTTCGCTTTGGATGCAGGAGTTTGGGCTATAATGAGATGTACTTGGTTCATCTGTTCACTAATAAACAATCAGACATCTCAGACTTCAAAGTATTGTGGCGACAGTGGGGAAATAAAAAGGTTCACATGCCGTCATGGAAAAAAAAAGAAAAAAAAAAGGGGCGGGTTGTATCACGTGTTTGAAGATTAAATTTGGGATTCCCAGAATTTGACCTTTGCAGCTGCTGTATCTTTAGCAGAAAAAAGTTTTTTTTCTTTTGGACATTTGACATCACATTGGTTCAAATCCTATCTTTTGTAAACTGTTGCTAACCCTTTTTAATTGGCTTTAAGACATCATGTACCTAGAACATACTTAATAAATACCAAATAATAAATCATTTGCTTTTTAAATCTTTCTTTTTTTTTAGATCTAATCGCCTGCAGCTCTTTATTTTTTATTCGTTGCACTGTTCATGCATCTTTAACTCAAAGAGGCAAAGTCATAGTTGTCCTCTTGGCTCTAGCTCTACAATTTCAATTGCATTTCCTTTATGTGTTTGTTTGTTGTTGCCATTTTCTTAATAACTTATTAAACTACAGTAAAATGTTCTTAGAATAAAATATATTATGGATGCTGGTCTCAGACCTGTGTCACCGATGCGTTGGGTGTGGTGCATTAGTAATTTAAGACATGTTTCCATTGGAGCTGCATATGGACCACCAAGAGACAGGCGTAATGTTTCTGAATCACCTATGACTCAACCACAAACCAAAATAAGAGAGTCTGCAGCCACACCCTCTCAGCCTGTCCTCTAAGTGCAGCGTGTGCTGGCTGGATGACTCAGGTCCTCCATCCTGTCTTTAAGTCACTCCTTTAGTGATTAAACAAACTCATCAGTTTGGGATGGTTTTGGTTTTGGAATCTGGGTTAACTAGTCTAACAGCAAACAGACTGCAGGGAAACGATCCTCTGCACTTGAATCTTGATAAACTGGACAAAGATTTGCATCACGAGAGCTGCAGGAATAATACCATTTATTCAAACGGCTGCTAAAGAATCAACTAAAACGGTTAAAATCACAGTTATATCACCTAATGCTACCTGATGTCATACAGATGGTTTCCTCACCCAGTGGGTTTTTCTCCAGAGTGAAGAGAAAAGGTGCTTTTCTGTTGGTCTGCTGGACGTTAGCATCATTGTTTTTATTGGTCAAAAGGCGAGGGTTTGTATTTGGCTTCGAGTGAAGAGAATTTAAAATACTCTCTCTGGAAAATAATTTTTCCAACCAAAAAGAAAAATATACTTGAAAGCATAAATCCGTTAGCAAAAAAAAAAAAAAAAATGTAAAAAAATTAAATAGAAAAAAAAAATACATTTGGAAAAAAAAAAGGAAATAAAATCTTTAAAAAAAAGCGAAACATTCTTTGTTCTTTATTTACTACATTAATGGAACAAATTTAACTCCATATACCCCCAATTAATCAGGCAGTGAGTTCAAACATTTCATTGTGAACTTTCTCAGACTTCCACTTCGACAGCTTAACAGGACTCCTCTCCTCTCCCTGCAGGTGATGTACTTCAGCTCCTTGTTTCCGTACGTTGTCCTGATCTGCTTCCTGGTTCGGGCTCTGCTGCTAAAGGGCTCCATCGATGGAATACGACACATGTTCACACCCAAGGTAGAAACAAATCCAGGCTGTTTGGTCTCATCTGAGCATAGATTTCCACAAAATCCATCCTCACTTGTTATCGTATATCAGAGGTCATGGATTAGTGAACTGCGGTCCAGCTCCGGACCCACCTGCTGGCTAATCCGGACCCAACCTGATTTAAAACATTTATAAATTACTGCATGTTGTCCGACGACAGTGTCTAACTTCACTTGCACTGCTTGTCCTGTTAATATGGTAAAGCCGTCCGGAGCATCTGGCACCAGGCTGCACGTGATACAAATTAGCAATGAGCTGCTGTCAGTCTGGGTTGCTGCTGCTGTGACTTTTAGACACAGCAGACAAACCTGTGGCAAGCCGGGCGATGGGAAAGAAGGAGAAGACGATGAGAAAAAGAGAGCAGAGAAAGTGTGGACTGCTGGAAGAACTGTGGTGAACTGGTGAAAGAAAAGTGAAATGGTGCTCAAAGATGACCCTGCAGTTAGAGGATGTTTGGCTCAACCTGCTGCTGTGAAGCAGGATTCTCCACCATGAACAGAATCAAAAATAAATATGGATCCAGGCTCAAAATGAGCTCCTTGATATGTGCTTTAGAATGGCTTTGTCTCCATTCAAACAGCTTTAAAGCCTTGCAGGGCAGCATAAAGCCCACTGCCAACATTAAGACAGAAAAAAGAAAAAAAACAAACAAAAAAACGGTCAGTTCAGGCGTTTTATTAAATATGTAAATCAGGATAATGTCTGTATACCAAACTGAACGATTGTCAATATATAACATGGATGCGGGCTGCTCAGTGGCACAGAAGATAGCACAGCCGCCTTGCAGCAAGAAGATCTGGGTTTGATTCCCGGCCTTTGGTCTTTCTGTGTGGAGTTTGCCTGTTCTCCCTGAGCATGCATGGGTTCTCTCCAGGTCCTCCAGCTTTCATGTCAAAAAACATGACTGTTTTTCTCTGTGCTGCCCTGCGATGGACTGGCGACCTGGACCCCGCCTCTCGCCCGTAGACAGCTGGAGATAGGCACCAGCACCCCTTGTGACCCTGCTTGGGATAAGCGTGACAGAAAATGGATGCATAAAGACCTCATTTTATTTCCGTGTTAAATTCTGTTTAAAGTAACAGATTACAATAAAAAATGTCCCCGGACCTTTAATGGTTGATGATTTTTTTTTATCCGGACCCCACTGATTTTTAATTGGTGACCCCTGTCTTGTATTAAACATGCACTTCAGAGTTTCTACTGTTCCCTTGCTGCATTGCCTGGTAGTTTCATTGTGTTAAACTCAAACAGTACATCTGCATGTAATAGGCCGGCTCCTCGGCAGCACGCAGCCAATAGCGCTTCAGGCCGCTGAACCATGTTGCCATGGAAACAGCAGTTACAGGGTCCTTATGTAAGCAGACAGCCCGAAGACGGCGGTTTTTAGCAGAGCTTGTCTGTCTTTTGTGTCTGCCTCCTTCTCGCTGCTTCAGATGGACATCAAAGCATTCGGGGTGTGTCCTCCTCCTGGGGGGGGGGGCTGGATGATGCCACACAGTGGCTGTTGGGTTTTTCAGTCGTCGTCCGACGGGATGGGATAGTAAATTTTCAGGTAATATCATTTGCTGTGAGGATTTAGGGCCTCTGATCCTGTAAGGAGGGAAGTTCACGGAGTCAGACGGGGTCTGGGTTTTCAGGTTAGAGGTGCAGCTGAAAGCCGAATCACCACTACTAAATGAATAGTTACAAAATCTCTGCGTCAAACACCTTTAAGAGGCCCCCAGAGAAGAAGCTTTACAAACCATATCAGCAAAACATAAACAGTTTCAGTGAGACGATTGAAAGAATTTAATTATACATAAAATGAGCTACTGAGCCGAATTTCTTCTTAGTCACTCTGCCATTAAAGAAAGTTCCTTTCTGATTGCATTATTGATCAGCTACATGCTTCAAGATCATCACTTCAGACAATCTTTAAATAAATGTCTTGAAATGTAGAAAATTCAATTTGATTATTTACCAAGTTCGATGTGGAAATAATCTAATTTAACATGATTAAAATGTTTAGCCTGCAGATTTTATATCTGTTACTTAACTAAAACTACTTTAACTAAAAGGTAAAATCTTTTTACATGATTATGTAAGTTATTGATGGATTTGTTGCATCAGAATTTAAACCTTGGCTTAAATATTTGACCAGAAATAAAAGCAAGTTGATTTAAAAATCATTAAAGGAGCATTTCTCTACGTTTATCATTTTTAGCTAATCTTAGAATGGAATCACATTGCAGAAAAATCATTAATAAAATGAAAGCATCAGGTTATTTTTGTAGGATTACTCAGTTCAGATTTTAAACATAAAACACTCTGAAAAAGAGCTGGCCTGTTTGTTCAGATGAGAAAAAACAGAATATTTCTTTACCATTCTTTGCTGTGAGGTAGTTTCATTGTTTGTGGGATCTAAATATGAAATTTGAAAAAAGAAAAATAGGGACCTGTCAGAAACTATTGATCTATGATGCATCAGGCAGGTGGATAAGAAATGTTCATTTGAAACGTGTTTGATTAAATAAAAACAGATTGAAAAAGGACAAATTCACAAGACAGGAGCAAGGAACCATTATTTCCCTGTAAAGGTTGAAAAACAGATAGATAAATGACCGAACCTGAGCAGAAACCAGGGCTGATCACAGACAGCAGGTGGATGGACCGATTACACAGAAAATACAAACAACGAAAAGCATCAAATAACCAGAGCAAAACTGCTGAAGAGATCGAACAAATAAAACTAAACCAAGATAAATGAGAGAAAGGAAACTAAAGAATAAGAGATTAGGGCTGGGTATTTTCGCCAAAGTCATGAATCAATTCGATTTTGATTCATACAGTTCTAAATCGATTCATTTCGATTCAATCTGTTTTTACAGTAATGAAAGAGGTTCAACTGTGTTTCGAAATACTCATGTATTTTATTTTTTCCTGTCATATTAAACACAAAGTGCAAACCTGTAAATCAGACAGTTTAAACTGATGTGAACAAAACTGTCTCAAAAGTGCAAACTTGTTTGAGAAAAGTGGAAAAGTGAAGCCTCACTTGTGGAAGCGGACGTGACACATTATATCTGCAGCGTTGTCTGTAACAGCCACCACGTGTTTGCTGCTCAGCCCCCATGTCTTCAGTCAACCTATTGGCTATATTTGCAGCTGTCTGGCTTGAAGTAATCTTGAGTGCATCTTTCCTGCTCATTTGAACGTCACGCGCATCACTATAAAACTAATCGATCTCATTCCCCAGACATTGATTTTGCAAAAATGTAAAGGAATCTATTCAAAATCGATTAAATCAATTTTTTTACCCAGCCCTATAAGAGAAAATACTTAACTCATGTGGACATAAAAAATAAACTATTAGGGCAAAAACTAAACACCAAAACTAATGACAGGCTTAAGGCAAAACCCAAACAGGAAATTCTTAACGTAAAAGTTAAAATTCCAAATAAAAAAGAATAAAAAGAAAACAAATAGCAAAGTTTAAAGTTCTCAATAAAAAAAATGAGGATGCAATTATGGATAAGCAGACGATACTCAGAGGGCATCTCAATTATTAGCCAGAAATTTCTGATTCTTAGGTTGAAGTTTTCACATGAAGCAAGCTGTGGAATTATGGTGAATGTAAAGACTGCCGATCAAGGAAGTAGGTCCTGATCCAAGATCGATCCAGGACTTCAGGTACGACTGATATTTACAGCCTCTATCAGGTCCAGAGGACAGGCTGAAGTAATGCGGCGTGATAATACGTAGTTTGACTCATGGTGATGTTAAGAAATGGATGGAGTAATGAACAAAGAGGAGAAGCTCCAAGTTTAACCCATCAGGAGAAGCTCTGTCTGAGAGTCCAGCCGTCATGGCACCACAAGCAGAGATTTAAAATTAGAACTGTACAACATGCAAAGAAAAAAAAGAAAAGCTGTGACTTTATTCCCTTCATTAGGACCATTGGGTGAGATTTTACCAGAAAACAAAGATTGATTCCTGATTAATGCAGCCCAACTTTATTAACGGATTATCAGGATTATTCACAGTATTTTGTTCAATGAGTTTTAAGCTTTTTTATAATAAAAGTAGGAACTCTATTGATGATGATGATCTATAATGGAGGTCTTCAGCAGGGGGTCTGCGACCCCTATGGGGTCAATAGAGGTACTGCATGGGGGTTACGAAAGTTTTGGTTGATTGGACTTTTTTTTATATTCCCCCCTGCAAATTTTTCCACTAGTTGAAATGTCTTTAAATCCACATTAACATGAATTCAACAGACTGTAGTAAACAGATAAATGGAGGCAGAAGAAGTCTTTCAGTCATCAATGCTCACATTCAGCGACACACAGGAGCTCTTTCAATCTGGGCACCGTTTCATTCACAACACCTGTCCTATCAACCAGGAATCAGAATCAGAAATACTTTAATAATCCCAGGGATTAATTAATTTCATTACATTACATTACTCCATATGTTTAGAGTGACTATAGGACCAGTTTGATATAACACAATTTCATACCAGATATATAATTAGGGGCTCCCCGCTCCATCTCACCATCAGTTTGGGGGTCCTTGGCCAGGAAAATGTTGAAGACCCCTGATCTATAAGGCTCCTCTGAATCTGTGGACCTCTGAGTTTCCTCTCCTCTGTTTGCTTTAACCTCAGCTGGAGATCATGCTTGAGGCCAAAGTGTGGCGAGAGGCGGCCACGCAGGTCTTCTTCGCGCTGGGCCTCGGCTTCGGCGGCGTCATCGCCTTCTCCAGCTACAACAAGCGCGACAACAACTGCCACTTTGATGCTGTGCTGGTGTCCTTCATCAACTTCTTCACCTCCGTGCTGGCCACCCTGGTGGTGTTCGCTGTGCTGGGCTTCAAGGCCAACATCATGAACAGCAAATGTGTTGCGCTGTAAGTTCGAGCTTCTTCCCCGAATCTACTTCCCCACCATCGGGGATCAGACTCTGATCCTGAGTGAAAAGGACCCAGACTCTCACTGATGTCCTATAAAAACTCTAATTTTGTTTGTCTATGACTTCATTAATGCGGGTGTAATATGTTTAACGTTGATACAGACATAGTAAATAAGCTAAATTAATTACTTCATAGCAAAATTAAACATTTTTATATATTATTTATGCATTGTTTCCCTTTCTTCTGTTCTGTAGAAACACTAATAAGATAGTGGGGCTGTTGGGTAATGGCATCGAACCAAGCCTTATTCCCCACCATATCAACCTGACTCAGGTTAGTCAGATCACTGCAGAAGACTACCATCAGATGATAGAGATCATCAAAGGAGTGAAGGAGAACGAGTTCCCCAAACTGGAGCTGGAGTCGTGCAGCATTGAAGATGAACTCAATCAGGTACAAGCTGCTAAAATCTGAGAATGATCTTTGTGATTAGAAGGCAGCATGTTGTTCATGCTGCATTTAACAGTTATTTTATTAAGCCCATTAAACTGCTTTTTTAAAAATAATATATAATTAGTAATTAACCTTATAAAGCAAAGTCGTTCCTCAGGCAGTTAAGCCTCGTCTCTGCTGCTTGCCCGCTCTCTCTAAAGGCCAATTTATGCTTTTGACTCATAGCCTCTGCAACCGTCAAATCTGTCTCTGTGTGCGACTACGCCGACTACGCAGCTGTGATTGGTCCTTAGTATGTCTTTCCGGCTGTCTGTTTGGTCGTCCTTCTCGATTCGGTGCCGGGATGCGCCATTTTTAAAAACCAAGGAACTACAATGGACAACTACTACGAAAGGTTAATCAGTCTGTTTACCAACTCCATTAACAGAACCTGTTCCTCTTCGATGTCTAGCAACTCTAGATCCATCTCCGTCACCGTGATATCTTGCAGACGCGCCATTGTTGTTTTGGAAGATAAACACTCCCGCCCGGCGCCGCCAAAGTTCTCGCGAGTTCTCGAATAGGCTCCCCCTTGCGCCTTCCAGACTAGGGGTGTAAATCACATCCATCATGGCGATTCGATTCAGTATCGATTTCCTGACCCAACGATTCGATTATTTTCGATACTCAAGAATACACCACGATTCGATTCGATTAATCTATTAATCGGTTAAATGTTTTTTTTATCATTATTATTTTTTTTACACCTTACAGGCTAAACAAAGTTTCAAGTTTGAAATAAATCAATGAAAGCTGTAATACCGTTATGCATTTTTTGCTGTTATGCACAACAGCAAAAAACAGAAGTAGAAAAGTTGCATCATAAAATACTGCAAAAATTCTGCAGAAAATCAGTGCAATGAGTGCAATGCAATACCTCGGCTCCAGAGTGTGGACGTCCCCGCCCCCTTGAGAGACGCTCCACTGCACCTCTCCCAAATTGTAGTTGACCGCAAACAGTGCCGCGGACAGGAGGCCAGTTTGTTTTGTTTTTATGACCAAAATTGCGGAAAACAACTCGTGAAATTTGACCCGCTAGAAGAGCGAGATGCGCGAGAACGCTGGGAAAACATGAATCGATTATCTTGCAGACGTGTCGATGCATCGAATCGTTGGCTTTATTTACTGTTAGCTTTGCTTTCCCGTTAAATTTCTAATTTAATAAACAGAAGTGCATTTAGAAACAAAGAAAGGAATATTTTTTTACTTATTTTACCTTTAATAGTTTATTACATTTCTTTCATTTTTTAAGATCTTGTTCACTTTATTTTGCAAAATTACCACAAACCTAACAAGCCTATTGATGCACATTCTGCTCCTAGGAAGGACTGTATTTGGAGCACTGTGCTGCCATCTATTGGTCAAAGCCTGAATTTCATCTGGTGTTGACTTGATTGTCTTTTCAAAATGTGATAAAAAAAAAGAGTGATTCAAAGGTAGATATGTTCTGGTATTATAAAGATTTAAAAAGCCAGTTTGAGGAGCAGGGATTAAAAAGTCATCATATCTCTGAATGGAAAACATATTTTGTTCAGATTTTGCTCAGATAATCGCTGTGTCACTGCATGCGCTGTATCCAAATTAATTATCTCTATTTAATTTAGTTTTTTTATATATATATTTGCAAATAAATTCCGGCAGTTAAATGTCAGAAACCAGATAAACTTGAACTTCTCCTAAAGTAGAACGCCTGAAGTCAGGGACTAGCAATTAAGCTTTAATACCTTGTGGGTTTCCTATTACCTACTTATTTTTCGTGCTCTAACAGGCAGTCCAAGGCACAGGCTTGGCCTTCATCGCCTTCACTGAAGCTATGACCCACTTCCCTGCCTCGCCTTTCTGGTCCGTCATGTTCTTCCTCATGTTGATTAACCTGGGCCTCGGCAGCATGTTTGGCACCATCGAGGGAATCCTCACTCCGCTCATCGATACGTTCAAAGTCCGGAAGGAGTTTCTCACAGGTCAGAGAACAGAAGGTTCTTTGTTATCCTGAAGCATTCTAAATGTGTTGTAAAAAAGAAAAAAAAATTGATAATTTCAAAGATGCACAAAATATGAAATGAAAGTATTAATTATTTTAAATTATTTTAAATTATTTTAAAGTAAAGAATTAAAGGAGCTGAAAAGCAAAGGGTTTCAGGAGAAGCTGGCTGTGTTTGTTCTGCATTTATTTTCCAGTAACGGGGTTCCTCCCTGTCTCTTGCAGTGGGCTGCTGTGTGCTGGCCTTCTCCATCGGTCTTCTTTTTGTTCAGCGCTCAGGGAACTACTTTGTGACCATGTTTGATGACTACTCCGCCACTTTACCGCTGCTCATTGTCGTGGTGCTGGAAAACGTGGCAATCGCCTGGTTCTATGGGATCAACAAGTAAGCAGGTGTTACTGTCAGCAGATTAGTATGGAGTGAGTTTTGTTCCATTATTAGGTGCATTTCCGTGAGGTTTTTCTAAGCGTCACATGGAAGAAAATTTCTTCTATGTGCTAGCTATGTGTTTTGGGCTTTCTTGAAAAAGTGTTAATGCATTAAACAGGAAATGGAAATATTTATTTTGAATCAGCTCAGAGGTAGCAAACTTTTATGTCACATGACTGATCAGCTGTCTCTGCTGTCAGCGTCTTCCTGGATGTTCCTATTATACAGATAAACATGGCTGGAAGCAACATCTCTATTACTAGCTGAAATGTTAATGTAAGAACAACTGGCCACATAGCAACACATTCATTCAAACCTACCTCCATTTCTGATCTGTGGTCAGTGCTTAACTTCAGCCTCTACTTCCTGTTTATAATAGCCGACCGTGATGTAATGTCTACAGCAACATATTATGAGATTAAGCTTTACATGGCTTGCATAATTCGCTTTAAACGAAACAAAGTGTTTTACTCATATACCTTTTTTTTTTTTTTTCACTTTTAAAAGTCTGTTAAAATTTTGCATTTCAGTTGGATGAAAGCAGGCTACTGCTGCAAGCAAAGTACGCATTTTGTTAATTCAGATAAAAAGATGGAATACAGGACAATCTTCTTAAGCAAAAAATGCTCTTGAGAGGAACTTTGTTGTTTTCTCAGATTATGTTTTTCTAATATTTTTTTTCCTAATTTATTTTTTCAAACTTTGTTTTCCTTTTATATATACATATATATATACTTTTTACAGATTGACTATTATGAATTGCATTCTTTTCAAATTACTTTTCCCAAATCCCTTTCAGCCCAATGCAAACATTCGCCCATTGACCAATAAAATGTTGTTTCTAACATCTAGCAGAAATGGGTCTTCTCTCCAGAGGAAAGCCCGCCCTTAGAAGTGAAGATAATTTGACCTATAATTAAAGAAAAAAGTTCTCCAGGGCTGATATTTAATGAGGAGTTTATTTGCTATTTAGGTGTAGAAGAAAACCTGGCTTTGACCCTATATGCTGATACACTCCTGCTGGTAAATCTGTGAGGGGGAGGTTGGTAAAGAAGTGAGTGAAAGAAATATATTATTTGCATTATCTTAGCCTGGGCTCCATCTGGGCAGATGTTGTACATTACCTGTGGAACCCCTTGCTGCAAGTAAAAAGACACAGGATGTCAACAAGGCGGGGGTCTTGTTTCACTTTTAGTGTGATGAATATTTTTCCAACAAAAATCCTAAAAAAAATTAACAGTGAAAATGTGAAAAAAATTTAATTTTTTTAAAAAACAGTTAAGTTTAATTCTGGATTGTTGTTTTTTTTTATTTTTATCTTCATATACTAAACATGTTTTTTGCTTAACAATAATGGAACAAATGTCACTCCATACTGTAGGTTGGCATGTGACTAAAATAAAGTCAACAGTTCTTTTTTTATAATTTGTTTGCTTCTAAAGAAAATGTGATTGGGTTCTCCTCCCCACTTCCTCAGATTCTTTGAAGACCTGAGGGACATGCTGGGCTTTACGCCGTACCGCTTCTACTATTACATGTGGAAGTACATCACGCCCATCCTGCTGCTGGTCCTTCTCTGCTCCAGCTTCATCCAGCTGGCGATGACGCCGCCCAGCTATAGTGCCTGGATACAGGAAGAGGTGAGTCGCCGTCTCTGTTCCATCTGCTGAGACCCCGGCAGTGGTGGAAAGTAACAAAGTACATTTACTTGATTACTCTATTAAAGTACTTTTTTAGAGTATCTACTTTACTTGAGTAATATTTCTGGTGGGTACTTAAAACTTTCACTCCACTACATTTCAAGGTCAAATATTGTACTTTCCTTTAGGCTCAGCTTAGTTTGTGAACCTCTGTTGCTGTTGTTCTTTCTTGAAATGCAATTTTAAAATGCCAGACAGCAGCCCTGAGGAATGAATTTGGACGTCTTGATGACATTCCACAAATGGGAGAAACTCAGGGCAGATATTATTTGTAGTTTGAATTTTATTAAGTCGTTAGTTCTTGCCATGTGGCTAGTTTCTGTTTCTTTAGTCACTATTCCACAGTGAAAGTGTGAGGAAAATGGAAAAAAAAAAAACGTATGTTTTTGTTTTGGTTTGTTTTTAAATAAAAAAAAAGGTGTCCTTATTTTTTTAGCAGCATTTTTATGCTGAAGCTCTTTACAAGTGGTGTGGAATCTGTAGCGGGTGGTTCTACGCATCGATACATCAGATGTACTGATATTAGAACATTTTATTGGTGTTTTTGAATATTTTTGAGTAGCTTAAGTACTTTTAAATGCAAGTACTTTTGAATACTATATTCAAAAGTGTGTCCTTCAATACTTTAACTTCAGTAGATGTTTGACTGAGTAACTTTTACTTATAGTTGAGTAAGATTTAACTATGAGTTTCAATACTCATGAACTGCTGTTGAGTACTTCGTCCAGCACTGGACCCGGGCTCTGTGGCTCGGTCACCCTGGAGTTAAATGAAAGCCGGGAACAATAAACAGGATGTTTGGTCAAAGACCCAAAGCTGTGATTTTACAACCAAAGATAATAAAAGCTGAAGGAGACACAGCTCTAAACATAGTCTTTAGTTTGTCAGGTAAAGCTAAAGTTTTCATATTTTTAATTTTAAAGAAGTCACAACATTTAATGTATTTTATAGAGATCGGATGTCGTGAGACACCATGAATTAGTAACTCATTGGGAAAGAAAAGTAAAAAGAAATGTTTTTTACAGTTTGTTTTCCTAATAAAACACTAAAATTTATGGTTGGTTTGTTGGGTCATCAAATCCACTTCGCCCAGCTTCCCCATTGGTGCTTTAGAAAAGGATGTTGACAGCATGGGGCAATGCTGCGTTCAGAGCATCGTCTTCCACATATGAGCTGTGGATCTCTGCAGCTCCTCCAGAGGTATCCCAGCCCAGTTGCTTTTAGCTCTGATCGAAGCTCCCCATGAACCGTTTGGATGTCAGACCTGTTTTTCTTTAGAAGTGCTTTTTCTGGATTCGTTTAGTTGCACTGAAGTTTCATTTAGGGGGTAATAGAGTAAAGGAGGTAAAATGTAATTCAGCTGTTAGATTTTTAAAGGTAAAACATTTCAAAAAACCTTCCTTAGCAACTGCTTTAGTTTCTCCATTATATAAAATTTACTGAGGTTTGTGGTTTTATTGTGATGTTTCCTGAGGTTTGATTACTTTCTGAAGGAGCTGTAAGGAGTAAATAACATATTTTGGATTAGAGCTGATCATACATCTATTTTCTTTCCTCTCCCATCCTTCAGGCCACGGAGAAGACCCTTCACTTCCCTCCCTGGGGGATCGCGGTGTGCATCTCCCTGGTGGTGATGGCCATCATGCCCGTTCCGGTGGTCTTCTGCCTGCGCTTCTTCAACATCATCGATGAGAACACCGGTGGCCTGTCCACCGTCTCCTATAAGAAGGGCCGTGTCATTAAGGAGACCCCCCGGCCAGAGGACGACGACGACGCCAGCCTGATCCATGGCAAGACACCCAGCGAGGCACCCTCGCCGATGCCCGGCAAAAACATCTACCGAAAGCAGAGCGGCGGGGGGGCGGAGGTTAACACGGCTCCCAACGGCCGTTACGGGATTGGTTACCTGATGGCGGACATGCCAGATATGCCCGAGTCGGACTTGTAGACCGACTGATAGTTTGCCCTACCCGGCCGTTCCTCTCCTCCACCCTTGTGCGTGCGTTTAGTCAGCCATTATCATCGTACATTGTTACCACAAAGTCTGATCTGAGTAGATAAGGTAGCTGCTCTGTTGTTTGTCGTCTCTGAACCTTATGTGACTGTAAGCAGAAAAACTAACGGTTTCGGAAGAGAAGTTCTTGTCTAACCCGACTGCACCTCACAATCAGAAAAGAATTGCTGTATAAAATGTTTTTTAGGTCTCATTTTAATCAAGTATTGAAGTTGTTTTCAGTGGATTCACTATGGAAGGACACAAAGATCTAAATCTTTCTTCATTTCTGGCCAAATTTCACGTCAGCCTCGCTTAAATCAGTGAGAAGACAGTGTTTGTATCCCGTTGTGGTCTGGGACTGAAGTGTGCCTAAATCATTTATATTTGTTTATAGAATACACACGTTGTAAATTTGAGGTATTCTGTAAATACAATATAAATATTATATATTTATCCTGATGGTTTGGATATCAGAGCAGTGTTTTTAAGGTTCAGAGGTACTTAACTCTCATGTCTTTGTTTTTTTACTAATGTTCTGTCCATGTCGGTGAGGACCGAGTCCTCTTTGTAAATATTTTTTCATGAAATGCTTAAATTGCGATGTCTCACCCAACCCCCTCCCTCCTCCAGTTCAAAAATAAAAGTCAAAGACAATCCACATTTTGACCATTTTTTGTTTTTTCATGATTTCTTTATGATGAGATATATTTCATTGGGAGACACTCAGAGGATAAATGCACATGTTGAGCCATTTAAAAAATGGATATAAAAGGAACAAATTTGTAAAGGCTTCATGAAATGATTGTTTCGAAAAATTAAATAAATTAAATGAAAAATAAACAGACACAACTTACACTTTATATTTAAAAACATTTACAAAGGGGGTAATGTTTATTTCTTACTGCGTATTTGATGCCCAAACAGCTCAGCAGATAGGAAATGTCTATAAAAACAATTAAAACCATAGCAGCCTGATAATTTAATGATCTAAGAGCGACAGTGGAGAGGAAAAAAAACCCTCTTAACAAACCTACAGCAGAAACAGGCTCAGTGTGAGCGGCCATCTTCCAAGTACTAATAGGTTTCAAGGAGACAGAAGCAGATGTACAGAAATAAGCAGAGATACAAAAGGTAAATGTCAACCAGCTCCATCTCGTCCCGTTCAGGAAACAAACAGCCAGGCAGACGAGCTCTGATCCAGCTATCATGTCAGATGATGAAAGACAGAACATCCAGTCACAGTCAGAGAAACAGGACTACACTGGAAAACAGGCCAGAGTGCCAGAATAGAGATAGAATGAAGCAGAATGATGAAAAAGGGGTCCTTATGTCCTCCAGCTGTCTAATCCTATAGCAGCATAACTATAGAGTTAGCTCTGGATAATCTAAACCACTCTAACTATAAACCTTAGTCCCTAATTTCTACTTTTAGAAATTCTAGGAACCACCAGTAAACCTGCAGATTGTTCAGCATTTCATTTGAAAAAAGGGCCACATTGCTGTGGAAATGCTTTACTTAGATGGTGATTTGGTAAACTAACAGGTTATTGAATACAGATCAATAAATTTAATAATTGATGAATACATTTATGAATTGTAGTTATGGATCAGCCAAAAAATGGGAGTCAGCCCACCAGGCAAATGCCCTGTAAGCCCAGTGACCAGTCCATCCCTGGGTGCCAGCCTCATTAATTAGTTTTTTGTTTTTTAATGCACTTAAATTAGCCCTTGTTGTAGATGCTGAGCCCAACAGGACCACACAGTCCTCCGCTGTGACCTTTCTAAAGGTTGAAGCATAAAGACAGATGGGTCATTCCTTTCTCCAGGGATTCCTAAACCCCTACTTAAAAAAAATCAATGAACAGCATCATTACAGTAGTTGGAAAACAGTTATAACTGTTATAGTTATAAAAGTTATAAAAGATTTAAAAAAATAAATTATAAAAACAAAAGTCTGCATTTGGATGACATCTACCTCAGAATCCAAAATGGCTGCATAAACACCAAAAATAAACGTCTGATCTGCACTTTTGACATGTTTTACTTTATCAACTCTGTTGCATCTAAATTTATAAACAACACAGATGAAGATAGCATTTTTTTTTTTTATCTGCGATACATTTGTTAAAGACCCTGATCACAATATTAAGACTGTTAAAAAAAATATAAATAAAAAAAATCCAAGAAGTTGCATTTTCTAAGTGGAGCTTCACAATGTTTACTAAAGAAATGAGAGCAAGCAGTCTATTCAGAACAACTGAACTGAAATAGGCCATATATCAACTGGTCAATAGTTAAAATAAAAAATAGAAAATGTAAATCAAGACCAGATTTCCATAAAACCTCACTAATGAACATTTGCACATATTTAAGTAAAGTTAGAGTTGACAATCCTCTTCCTGGGGCTTGATCTGATCTCTTTGTTGGCTCAGCCTTTCTGACTATCTTACAATGTTATGAGAAGAGGAGGAAGGTGTTTATGGGATATTCTTTCACATGATGGCAGAAGAGCAGATAGGATCTGTTTTAAAGAGACAAGGTAAAATATTTATCGCCATCTAGTGGTGCACTGACTCACCTGGTAAAATCAACACCTGTTGTTTTTTTTCCTGGCTATTATGTCTTTTTCTTTTTTCTTAAAATTATTTCTCTCACTTGAAAAAAAGTACGGATGTTACTCCATTGCAAGAGAAAGTGGAAGATAGAATGACCTACAGTTTATTTTGCTTATTTTTAACTCTTCGGCCACCAGCACATTTCCAGACACAGGTAAAACATGTTTGTCCTCTTTCAGCTTCTTTAATCTTAAATGCAGATACAACATGGCATCTCCCATTGGGATGATATTTATTAAAGCAATACTAGAACTCTGTCTGAGAAATACAGAAGAAGGAAGGCAATTAGAATGGTTTTATTGAAACAATATTTTTAGACTTTGGCACTCAGGCATCAGTGGGGTAAATGAACAATTCATTTTTACTTTGATTATATGCAGCAGCTGCTGAATGGGAACAGAGATGAAGCCCACCGGGGATGCAATTGGTGGTGGAACAAAGATGGAAGGAAGATGGATGACAGGTGGAACAAGGCGCAGGTTTATATGAGCTTGCACGATGAGAAAGCATAGAGCGACAGTGGAGAGGAAAAAAAACCCTNTGTTTCTAACGTCTAGCAGAAATGGGTCTTCTCTCCAGAGGAAAGCCCGCCCTTAGAAGTGAAGATAATTTGACCTATAATTAAAGAAAAAAGTTCTCCAGGGCTGATATTTAATGAGGAGTTTATTTGCTATTTAGGTGTAGAAGAAAACCTGGCTTTGACCCTATATGCTGATACACTCCTGCTGGTAAATCTGTGAGGGGGAGGTTGGTAAAGAAGTGAGTGAAAGAAATATATTATTTGCATTATCTTAGCCTGGGCTCCATCTGGGCAGATGTTGTACATTACCTGTGGAACCCCTTGCTGCAAGTAAAAAGACACAGGATGTCAACAAGGCGGGGGTCTTGTTTCACTTTTAGTGTGATGAATATTTTTCCAACAAAAATCCTAAAAAAAATTAACAGTGAAAATGTGAAAAAAATTTAATTTTTTTAAAAAACAGTTAAGTTTAATTCTGGATTGTTGTTTTTTTTTATTTTTATCTTCATATACTAAACATGTTTTTTGCTTAACAATAATGGAACAAATGTCACTCCATACTGTAGGTTGGCATGTGACTAAAATAAAGTCAACAGTTCTTTTTTTATAATTTGTTTGCTTCTAAAGAAAATGTGATTGGGTTCTCCTCCCCACTTCCTCAGATTCTTTGAAGACCTGAGGGACATGCTGGGCTTTACGCCGTACCGCTTCTACTATTACATGTGGAAGTACATCACGCCCATCCTGCTGCTGGTCCTTCTCTGCTCCAGCTTCATCCAGCTGGCGATGACGCCGCCCAGCTATAGTGCCTGGATACAGGAAGAGGTGAGTCGCCGTCTCTGTTCCATCTGCTGAGACCCCGGCAGTGGTGGAAAGTAACAAAGTACATTTACTTGATTACTCTATTAAAGTACTTTTTTAGAGTATCTACTTTACTTGAGTAATATTTCTGGTGGGTACTTAAAACTTTCACTCCACTACATTTCAAGGTCAAATATTGTACTTTCCTTTAGGCTCAGCTTAGTTTGTGAACCTCTGTTGCTGTTGTTCTTTCTTGAAATGCAATTTTAAAATGCCAGACAGCAGCCCTGAGGAATGAATTTGGACGTCTTGATGACATTCCACAAATGGGAGAAACTCAGGGCAGATATTATTTGTAGTTTGAATTTTATTAAGTCGTTAGTTCTTGCCATGTGGCTAGTTTCTGTTTCTTTAGTCACTATTCCACAGTGAAAGTGTGAGGAAAATGGAAAAAAAAAAAACGTATGTTTTTGTTTTGGTTTGTTTTTAAATAAAAAAAAAGGTGTCCTTATTTTTTTAGCAGCATTTTTATGCTGAAGCTCTTTACAAGTGGTGTGGAATCTGTAGCGGGTGGTTCTACGCATCGATACATCAGATGTACTGATATTAGAACATTTTATTGGTGTTTTTGAATATTTTTGAGTAGCTTAAGTACTTTTAAATGCAAGTACTTTTGAATACTATATTCAAAAGTGTGTCCTTCAATACTTTAACTTCAGTAGATGTTTGACTGAGTAACTTTTACTTATAGTTGAGTAAGATTTAACTATGAGTTTCAATACTCATGAACTGCTGTTGAGTACTTCGTCCAGCACTGGACCCGGGCTCTGTGGCTCGGTCACCCTGGAGTTAAATGAAAGCCGGGAACAATAAACAGGATGTTTGGTCAAAGACCCAAAGCTGTGATTTTACAACCAAAGATAATAAAAGCTGAAGGAGACACAGCTCTAAACATAGTCTTTAGTTTGTCAGGTAAAGCTAAAGTTTTCATATTTTTAATTTTAAAGAAGTCACAACATTTAATGTATTTTATAGAGATCGGATGTCGTGAGACACCATGAATTAGTAACTCATTGGGAAAGAAAAGTAAAAAGAAATGTTTTTTACAGTTTGTTTTCCTAATAAAACACTAAAATTTATGGTTGGTTTGTTGGGTCATCAAATCCACTTCGCCCAGCTTCCCCATTGGTGCTTTAGAAAAGGATGTTGACAGCATGGGGCAATGCTGCGTTCAGAGCATCGTCTTCCACATATGAGCTGTGGATCTCTGCAGCTCCTCCAGAGGTATCCCAGCCCAGTTGCTTTTAGCTCTGATCGAAGCTCCCCATGAACCGTTTGGATGTCAGACCTGTTTTTCTTTAGAAGTGCTTTTTCTGGATTCGTTTAGTTGCACTGAAGTTTCATTTAGGGGGTAATAGAGTAAAGGAGGTAAAATGTAATTCAGCTGTTAGATTTTTAAAGGTAAAACATTTCAAAAAACCTTCCTTAGCAACTGCTTTAGTTTCTCCATTATATAAAATTTACTGAGGTTTGTGGTTTTATTGTGATGTTTCCTGAGGTTTGATTACTTTCTGAAGGAGCTGTAAGGAGTAAATAACATATTTTGGATTAGAGCTGATCATACATCTATTTTCTTTCCTCTCCCATCCTTCAGGCCACGGAGAAGACCCTTCACTTCCCTCCCTGGGGGATCGCGGTGTGCATCTCCCTGGTGGTGATGGCCATCATGCCCGTTCCGGTGGTCTTCTGCCTGCGCTTCTTCAACATCATCGATGAGAACACCGGTGGCCTGTCCACCGTCTCCTATAAGAAGGGCCGTGTCATTAAGGAGACCCCCCGGCCAGAGGACGACGACGACGCCAGCCTGATCCATGGCAAGACACCCAGCGAGGCACCCTCGCCGATGCCCGGCAAAAACATCTACCGAAAGCAGAGCGGCGGGGGGGCGGAGGTTAACACGGCTCCCAACGGCCGTTACGGGATTGGTTACCTGATGGCGGACATGCCAGATATGCCCGAGTCGGACTTGTAGACCGACTGATAGTTTGCCCTACCCGGCCGTTCCTCTCCTCCACCCTTGTGCGTGCGTTTAGTCAGCCATTATCATCGTACATTGTTACCACAAAGTCTGATCTGAGTAGATAAGGTAGCTGCTCTGTTGTTTGTCGTCTCTGAACCTTATGTGACTGTAAGCAGAAAAACTAACGGTTTCGGAAGAGAAGTTCTTGTCTAACCCGACTGCACCTCACAATCAGAAAAGAATTGCTGTATAAAATGTTTTTTAGGTCTCATTTTAATCAAGTATTGAAGTTGTTTTCAGTGGATTCACTATGGAAGGACACAAAGATCTAAATCTTTCTTCATTTCTGGCCAAATTTCACGTCAGCCTCGCTTAAATCAGTGAGAAGACAGTGTTTGTATCCCGTTGTGGTCTGGGACTGAAGTGTGCCTAAATCATTTATATTTGTTTATAGAATACACACATGTTGTAAATTTGAGGTATTCTGTAAATACAATATAAATATTATATATTTATCCTGATGGTTTGGATATCAGAGCAGTGTTTTTAAGGTTCAGAGGTACTTAACTCTCATGTCTTTGTTTTTTTACTAATGTTCTGTCCATGTCGGTGAGGACCGAGTCCTCTTTGTAAATATTTTTTCATGAAATGCTTAACTTGCGATGTCTCACCCCACCCCCTCCCTCCTCCAGTTCAAAAATAAAAGTCAAAGACGATCCACATTTTGACCGTTTTTTGTTTTTTCATGATTTCTTTATGATGAGATATATTTCATTGGGAGACACTCAGAGGATAAATGCACATGTTGAGCCATTTAAAAAATGGATATAAAAGGAACAAATTTGTAAAGGCTTCATGAAATGATTGTTTCGAAAAATTAAATAAATTAAATGAAAAATAAACAGACACAACTTACACTTTATATTTAAAAACATTTACAAAGGGGGTAATGTTTATTTCTTACTGCGTATTTGATGCCCAAACAGCTCAGCAGATAGGAAATGTCTATAAAAACAATTAAAACCATAGCAGCCTGATAATTTAATGATCTAAGAGCGACAGTGGAGAGGAAAAAAAACCCTCTTAACAAACCTACAGCAGAAACAGGCTCAGTGTGAGCGGCCATCTTCCAAGTACTAATAGGTTTCAAGGAGACAGAAGCAGATGTACAGAAAGAAGCAGAGATACAAAAGGTAAATGTCAACCAGCTCCATCTCGTCCCGTTCAGGAAACAAACAGCCAGGCAGACGAGCTCTGATCCAGCTATCATGTCAGATGATGAAAGACAGAACATCCAGTCACAGTCAGAGAAACAGGACTACACTGGAAAACAGGCCAGAGTGCCAGAATAGAGATAGAATGAAGCAGAATGATGAAAAAGGGGTCCTTATGTCCTCCAGCTGTCTAATCCTATAGCAGCATAACTATAGAGTTAGCTCTGGATAATCTAAACCACTCTAACTATAAACCTTAGTCCCTAATTTCTACTTTTAGAAATTCTAGGAACCACCAGTAAACCTGCAGATTGTTCAGCATTTCATTTGAAAAAAGGGCCACATTGCTGTGGAAATGCTTTACTTAGATGGTGATTTGGTAAACTAACAGGTTATTGAATACAGATCAATAAATTTAATAATTGATGAATACATTTATGAATTGTAGTTATGGATCAGCCAAAAAATGGGAGTCAGCCCACCAGGCAAATGCCCTGTAAGCCCAGTGACCAGTCCATCCCTGGGTGCCAGCCTCATTAATTAGTTTTTTGTTTTTTAATGCACTTAAATTAGCCCTTGTTGTAGATGCTGAGCCCAACAGGACCACACAGTCCTCCGCTGTGACCTTTCTAAAGGTGGAAGCATAAAGACAGACGGGTCATTCCTTTCTCCAGGGATTCCTAAACCCCTACTTAAAAAAAATCAATGAACAGCATCATTACAGTAGTTGGAAAACAGTTATAACTGTTATAGTTATAAAAGTTATAAAAGATTTAAAAAAATAAATTATAAAAACAAAAGTCTGCATTTGGATGACATCTACCTCAGAATCCAAAATGGCTGCATAAACACCAAAAATAAACGTCTGATCTGCACTTTTGACATGTTTTACTTTATCAACTCTGTTGCATCTAAATTTATAAACAACACAGATGAAGATAGCATTTTTTTTTTTTATCTGCGATACATTTGTTAAAGACCCTGATCACAATATTAAGACTGTTAAAAAAAATATAAATAAAAAAAATCCAAGAAGTTGCATTTTCTAAGTGGAGCTTCACAATGTTTACTAAAGAAATGAGAGCAAGCAGTCTATTCAGAACAACTGAACTGAAATAGGCCATATATCAGCTGGTCAATAGTTAAAATAAAAAATAGAAAATGTAAATCAAGACCAGATTTCCATAAAACCTCACTAATGAACATTTGCACATATTTAAGTAAAGTTAGAGTTGACAATCCTCTTCCTGGGGCTTGATCTGATCTCTTTGTTGGCTCAGCCTTTCTGACTATCTTACAATGTTATGAGAAGAGGAGGAAGTTGTTTATGGGATATTCTTTCACATGATGGCAGAAGAGCAGATAGGATCTGTTTTAAAGAGACAAGGTAAAATATTTATCGCCATCTAGTGGTGCACTGACTCACCTGGTAAAATCAACACCTGTTGTTTTTTTTCCTGGCTATTATGTCTTTTTCTTTTTTCTTAAAATTATTTCTCTCACTTGAAAAAAAGTACGGATGTTACTCCATTGCAAGAGAAAGTGGAAGATAGAATGACCTACAGTTTATTTTGCTTATTTTTAACTCTTCGGCCACCAGCACATTTCCAGACACAGGTAAAACATGTTTGTCCTCTTTCAGCTTCTTTAATCTTAAATGCAGATACAACATGGCATCTCCCATTGGGATGATATTTATTAAAGCAATACTAGAACTCTGTCTGAGAAATACAGAAGAAGGAAGGCAATTAGAATGGTTTTATTGAAACAATATTTTTAGACTTTGGCACTCCGGCATCAGTGGGGTAAATGAACAATTCATTTTTACTTTGATTATATGCAGCAGCTGCTGAATGGGAACAGAGATGAAGCCCACCAGGGATGCAATTGGTGGTGGAACGCAGATGGAAGGAAGATGGATGCCAGGTGGAACAAGGCGCAGGTTTATATGAGCTTGCGCGATGAGCAAGCATAGAGCGACAGTGGAGAAAAAAAAACTCCCCTTGGAAAGAAATCTGACAGGACCAGGCTTACCATGGCAGTCTTCTGCCGGACTGGCTGGTGTTGCCTTGTGAAAGCAGTATGAGTCCAGGGTATTAGTTCAATAGGAGACAGATGGAGCTTTAGGAGATATGAAGAAGAGGATGGAGGAGAGTTGAATCAGAGTAATCAGAATCAAAGTTTGACACATGATCCAACTAAGATACTTGTTGGGGAGCAAGTTGAGCTGTTGATTTGAATGTTTCAGCAGGAATCTGATACTAATTGGATTATCAGGTGGTTAAATGCTAATTCGCTGCTTCATTCATGGATAAGCCTCTGATTGCATGATCCAGTTTATTCCAATGATCCAGTTTATTCCAATGAATTTCAGCCTAGGCTTCAGCCTAGGCTTCATTTTGTTTGCCAATATAAATCCAGATACACTTTAAAGCATGCAGATATTCAAAAAGTGGCCTGGGTGTTTTTTTTAGCTACATTTCTGAGGGAAAAGTCATGTGATAAGCTTTTAAAGTTCTCAATAACATTTATATAAACATTGATTAATACATGCATAACAATGGTTTAGTTATTATCACTAAATATGTATGAAACTCCTAGATCAGGTTGTCTTATCCGTGGTCCTCGGGGCCTAATGTCCTACATATTTTAGGCTTTCCCATGCCTCCAAACAGCCGACCTGAATGAAAAGCTGCTGTTCGATGTTCTTCTGCAACCATTTTTTTATTAAAGCATCTCCAATCATGATGCTCCCTCCATCTACTGTTCCACACAGTGGATGCCCTTCAACACTTGAAACTACATTCCCACTAAGCCTCTTAAGCCCATGTCACACCTTGATGATTTAGCTAGTGTATGTCTGACATACAAAAAAATCAGGCAAAAACGCTGGCATACAATGGATGAATAATGGGTCAGTTTTGTATAAGTTAGGAGCACGCTGAAACGAAGGCACACGTCGACATACTGCAAGTATTTGTTTTGAGCATGCTCTAAATTTCTTGACATATGCCAGCGTACGCTCATACATGGGCCATAAGTTACAGATTAATTATTTGATCATTGGCATACGTTAAGTGTACTGTAAGTTACTCATAAGTCATGGTGTATAGCTTATCCAAAACCTATGAGTAAGTGGTGCATAACTTATCTCCAACGCATGTCAACTAAGTATTTCTATTTATTTATTTTTTTGAGTTTTTACTGCACTAGTGGATAGTTTTTTTGACAGTAGGCTGAAAGGAAAGGGGGTATGAGAGAGAGGGAGAGACATGTGGCAAAGGACCACTGGCCGGATTCGAACCCGGATCGCCCGCATCGAGGACTAAGGCCTCCATACATGGGTCGTGCACGCCAACCAATGCCCACCTGCACGCCCATATAAACGTATTGACGTGTTCCAGACGACTGCTGAACATGTTTCTAACTCACAGCTACTGTATAATGGTGTATTGGCAGCGCTTGGTATAAAAGGGGGTTCACAGGAGGAAACCGCCAGTCCTTGCACACATGACGCTCTTTTTATTAATTTATTTATGCTTCTTTGGCTGGCAGTACCTCTGGGTGCATTGCTTCCCACCTCAGGAGCAGCGATGTACCTGTGGAGAGCAGCTTTAATTTATGCATTACGCAGTCATGCGGTATGCATAAGGTAGACTGTCGTTGGACATAGGTTCTGGATTCATTAAGCATACTCTATGTATACACCCAAAATTGAAAAACCACAGAAAGTTCAGCGTATGCCACAGTTTTAGGGGATTCTGGGACGTCAAGCATATGCTGGCTAAATCGTCGAGGTGTGACAGTGGCTTCAGAAACACTAGCATCAATATGCCTGAAAGAGTCATTACTGAGTCCTTTGACACTCTGATTTATTTTCAGCTTTGTAAAAAGTTTTTTTCTTAAAAAAGCTTTTTGTCTCTTGCTCCTTCTCCTTTTTACACCGATAAGCTTGAATTATAACCTTCTTTAGATCAAATCAAGCATTTTCTCTCTTTTTAGCATGCCTGCAATTCTCCAATTTTTGGCATTGGAACAGAACTATCTAACCTCACGGTACCAAATGGAAAATACTGTCAGATTTATTGTACATTAGCATCATAAATATTTTTAAGCAAATAAAAAAAAAGAAAAAACAGATTTGATCAACAGAAACCGAGAGTCAGTACCTTGTACAAAATAGCTTTACTGACTTGCTTTGTTTGGCATCACAATAAATTCAGCTAAAAGGATGTAAATACAATCAGAAAAAATTTACAAAGCAGGCAGTATCGGAAAATTTAGAGATTAATAAACCGGTATATATATACATATGTTTACACATACAGAAATAAATAATCAAATGACACTTTAATGGCTTTTCTTTTTGCGTCTTTTTCCAGTTTTTTTTCTGTCCCGTTGTCCACCAGGTTTAAATCCACCTCTGTTTTTTTCGGGGCAGGATTTTGTTCACATCTCTGCTTGAGGACGAAAGAACCCAGATTAAACCAATGGTGATAAAGATGCCTATTGTCTGATC